ATTTATTCTTATACCTGTATCTTGTAAGCAATTGACAAATCAAATAAATACTAAAATATTAAATATTTTAAAAATTAGGGTTATAAGGCAGCATGGTTGTGAGATGCAGACCATATAGCCCCTATAAATTCTTTTCAGTCCCATCCCTGATGTCCTTTAATCTTTGTACAATGGCTGCAGTAGAAAGACCATGTGAGAATTAATGCTGTTTTTGGAATCATTACCTCCTAATGACATTGCTGCTTGCAAGCCCATGAACTTTACACAGAATGCTGCCTTTTACAGCTGCTGTAATAAGTCAGTTTTACTCCACCATACTCACAAATCCAGTCTGGCTTGGACAAAATCTACAATTCACTTTTTTTTTTCCTTTTCAGTGAAAAGGTATCGGGGTCTCTTTCACAGATATGGAAACTGTAAAGTTTAGTTGAAATTTTAGAACTAATCCTATAATGATAGATTTATCTGAAATATATTGCAAAGTTTATAAGAGTCTTACAATAATGGAAAGGTGGAATCAGTTTTCACAGTTCTCTCTCTCTCCCTCCCCCTCTCCCTCCCTCCCTCCCTCCCTCCCTGGTACCTCAAAAAAATCTAGTGGAAGGAGTTGTCTTTTGATACTTTTATATTAATTAAAAGCTCAAGAGTACTGCAGCCATTCTAAGATTTTAAAGAATACAAGGAGGTTGATTCGCTTCTGTAGTAGTTGAATTATTGGAGGCCAAGTCATTTTTTTCATTTATTAACTTTCTACATTGCCTATCACACTTAAGTGACTTTTAATGGTTTACAGCAACAAAATAAAACAATAAAAACAATGAATAAAAACACAGATTAAAACTGAGTTAAGAACAAACTTTAAACTTGTAAGATAAAAGTGCAATTCAGAGTTAAAATTAAAAGACTAAAAAATTGACAAGTCACCAACTATCTCCAAGGTTGCATCATACGCCTAGATCTCCATGCTATTTGGCAGTGCCATGTCTTTACATTCTTCTGGGAAACCAGAAGGATGGAGGCTCACCTCATTTCTGGGAATAAGATGTTCCAGAGGGTGGGGACAATAGCAAAGAATGAAATTCAGTCAGGTTCACCTTCAAATCTTATATCTTATGAACAAATCCAATCAGTTTTCCTTAGAACCATATGCATGATTGACATATTCCTGAGGCTGGTAGGCAGCTTCCTAAACATTGAAACTCAGATCTGGTCAGAGTCACTTTAAAGTACAGAAGATTGCTTCTTCTCTTGTTAATGGATACCTATAAAGACAAATGGCAATTAGTTTGTGAACAAAATCTTATTACTTCTGGCTTCTCACTAGAATGTCTAAACCAAATGAGGTATGAGGATGCCATGACAGTGTCCTTAAAGAAAGGACAGAATATGTAACACATGACCCACACCTCTCTTGCTTTTGATGGCAGGTACTAATGATGCCATAACCAGTGATTTATAAAATTGTTTTTAAAAAAGATGGACTTTCCAAAGGCCTGCATTAACATTTTCCCTCTGCATTATAGGAGATAAAATAGATGAATATTTCATATCTAGAAAAATATTGCCTGGGGGAAAGGGAGAAATAGAATCAGTGGGTCATATTCTTCTAAACTGCCCCTTCAAAGATCAAGTCAGACACTGAAGGATAATCCACTTATTAAAGGCTTTAAGGGCAGTCCATATAATTTTAATTTCGCCTTCTACCTGGAGCATGCATGCTGAAGTCATTTCTATAAACATCTAAGGATCTGGCCACCTCAGTTTATATCATCTGCAGTTTCTCTTGTCATCTACAAAGGGAGTGCTATATGGAGCATGTACAGTAATTGAAATGTGTGCCAATGAAGGTATGAAAGACTTCATCAGAGCTTCAAAATTAGGCAGGGCCTAACTGGCACACCAGACATGCTGTTTCAGCAGGAGCCATAAATCCAGGAGGACACTCAAGTTTCAGACCTCGTCTTGAAGATAGAGAGTAACTCCTTCTAGACAATCACTACATATCAATGAACCATGATGTCTCTGAACTCCAGTAACTCCATCTTTCTGGGATTCATCATTCTCTTGTTTTGGCCCTACCCAAACTTACCACCTCCAAATCCTAGGTCAGAATTTTCATAGTATTGCTATTATGGCCCAAGATATTGGGTGTAATTAAGTATTGATCAGCATATAAATGCTACCTTACAGCAAAACAAAATGATAGATAATGTCTCTCCCATTGATTTTATAGACATAGCAGTAGGGAGAAGTTCCCTGAGGATGGATTCCAGCACGAGTTCTAAAGCTTGGAAGACAAAACCTCTAGTCCTGGTGACTGATCATATTGGATCCTGGAGTAGGGAAAGAATTAAGCCCTGAGATATCCATATTGGAGGAATCATGGGCTTGATACTCATCCCCCATTACTATCAACTGAATCTATCTGCTATGGCAGGAACATGACCATTGTAATTTGGTATTCCTACCTCCCCAAATCCATATATTGTAGTCAATGATATAGAAAACTATTGGTATGTTAGTTTCAGCAGGGATTCACTCCCACTTTCTAGCTCCTGATGAAGTTCATGTACCAGTCCTATGCAGAGGTCTGAATCCATGCTGAAAAGGAATCCTATAGTATATCATTCTCTGATGCTGATTTCTCATCACCTTCTCCAAAATCTTCCCCAGAAAGGAAAAGTTGGGTATTGGTCAAAGGTTGTCAAGATAAAGCTTCTTCAGAAGACAATGCATTACCACATCTTTCAGGATTAATGTCACTGCATCTTTTCTGAAAGAAACATTCATAACCTTTTGACTCCAGCTATTCATTGTCCTCCTAGTCACCAAAAGTAGCTAGGAAAAGCATAGATCTCAACAATAGGTCACACAGCTCACACTATAAATAACCTTTTCTACTAATTGCACAAGCTGTCTGATGGAAATATTGTCCCACTTTCCTTCTTAATTGATCACTGTAGCTTTTGCATCATGTAATTTTCATTTACCTTCAGTCACTACTTTGTTTGATTAACATGCTCCTTGTTACTTGTTACCAACAAATCTGTCAACTAAAATCCATCTGCCCCCTATTTCTGCAAGACAATAAATATGTAGAGAGCAAATCTTTGTGCATAGATCACAATTTATCTTAGGAGCTAGTTATACCAATGTTCTTAGTACATTTTCTTGGAGCAGATAGGGAGTTTATAGTATTATGGAGATCCCTACCCTCAAATTCCCATCCCTTGAATGATATCTGCAATTTTGCTCACTGGCAGCTATTAAAGCAGCTAAATATATGGGTAGTTAATGGCTCTATTTCTTGGGTTAAAAAACAGATCACATTTCTGAACAGGTTTGAAAGTAACTATGAGTAGAAGAGCAAATTCTCTTGTTTGCCTGCCAGGTTGCCTCTTGAAATGCAACTACAGTACCAAGTATGCTGCTACAAAGAGGAAGTACAATTATTGTTATTATAGTTCATCACACAGTCAGCCAAATGTTTAAACTGGATTTGGCACTTTATCCATCTATCAAATTCTTCCTAAGGATCTGAAAAGCAGACATTTGATGGTGTTAAAGGTATCATCACTGTTCCATGTAAAGTTGCCTTTTGCAATCGACTGATGGTGATTTTGTCAGTGCTCAAGTGGCACTCCAGATGTTTTGGGATTGTACCAATGTGCCTACTACTGTTGCTACTACTTTTGCTTTCTTTTGCCATAGTTCTACTTCCATTTGCTGATATATATATATTTTACTCGAGTTCTTTCTCTTCTCTTCTGCTGCCTCCAGTACTACCATATTCACTATCCAGACTTTTTCTTTTTTGGTCTTTCTTATGTTTCAATTCTAAAGTCCCAGAACCCTTTAGCTGCTTCATTTTTTATTACTTTTTTCATTGGTACTCCCACCAGTTCTTGCTTAGAGGCAAGTGGTATTTCTTGTGGGTGTTTCAATGCACCATTGTTGCTGTTTTTTCATGTCATTGTTTGTAATCAGCCTGTGTGGTCTTTTTATAGCAGCCAACTAGGTGGCCCACTGTTTCTTCAACTTCTTTGTAAAGGCAGCATTTTCTTTTTTCTTTCTTTCTTTCTTTCTTTCTTTCTTTCTTTCTTTCTTTCTTT